AGGCTGGCCTCGAACTCACATTGATCCTCCTGCCTCAGCCTCCTGAGTGCTGGGATTACAGGCGGGTGCCACCACACCTGGCTCAGAACAGTAGCTTCTTAACCAATGAGTCTTTTCATAATTTCCTCTCGTTATGCTGCAGAGTGCTCAGCAGGCTCCTCTGAGGCCAGTCTCCAAGGACCTCTGTGCCTCAGTCTCCTCTGGAACTTTCCCAGAGAGCTCCAGTGCCCTGGCCTTTCATGTCCGTGTGCTGGACACTCTCCAGGCTGACATGGGCTCCTGGCCTGCTTCCTAGGGCTGCTGATGGCCAGTGTCTTGAAAACCACTGTTTCATATCTTTGTGTTTTGGGTTTTTGGCTATTTCAGCTGCATGTCCCTGTTACTCCATCTTGGCTGAAAGTGGGAGTTCCTTAGCTATTTAAATTAACTTAACACTTAAAATTCCAGTTCTCAGCATTTACTTTGGCTGGCACCACCATCTTCCAGGAATTTGCCAAAATGGCTATCACAAAAGGGGAAGTAGAGAGGCACCTGACACACATCTTCTAGGCCTCTGAGAAAACATGGGATTGTTTCTTTGGCCCCATACATGCAGATCTCCAAGAAAGGTGACACTGGAGAAATTGAGGCCCTGCATATGTCACCCTGGTAAAGCTGGGAGAGTCAATGTGTCACCCCACATTGTCACCACTGCTGTCAGCAAATGGATTAAGGGCAAGATTCTCCAAGAGAATTTGCACATGTGCTGAACACATCAAGCTCAGGAGTCAAGGTGGCTTCCAGGACAATCAGAAAAAGAGCCTAGGATGTAGCTCAGTGGCATGGTGCCTGCCTGGCAAGTGTAACGTCCTGAGTTTGATCCCCAGTACCAGGGGGAAAAAAATCAGAAAAAAGCCATAGAAAAAGGTCCTACACTCAACTGAAGTCCAGCCTGCTCCACCCAGAGAACTACCCTAGTGAGGACATTATTGGTATATGTGTGTGTGTGTGTGCGTGTGTGTGTGTGTATTGTTGTTGTTGTTGTTGTTATTTGTGGTGCTATGGATCAAACCCAGGGCTTCATGCATGATAGGCGAGTGCTCTGCCACTCAGTTATATTCTAAGCCCCTGAGAAAACCATGTGAAAGGAGGCTTCAGACTAGGTGGGTACAATGGCATATGCTTTAATCTCAGCCACTTGGGAGGCTCAGGCAGGAAGATCACAAGTTCAAGGCCAGCTTGGGCAACATACTGCTGAGGGAGACCCTATCTCAAAAGAAAAAAAAAAAAGGAGCCTAGTGCTAGAACTTCTAAATTCATGGCATAATAGGGCTGGGGATTTAGCTCAGTGGTTCCACTGCCTGGCTCACAAGCACAAGGTCTCGAGTTCGATCCCTGGTACAAAAAAATTCACAGCATAATAGGTATAAAATAAAACACCTCTGAACTGAAAAAAAAAAATCGATTCCCCAATGGCACTGAAAGACTCCACCCATAGCTGTAGTGTGTGATAAGACATTGCCACAATCACAGGCATCTGGCACATCGCCCTGGCCCAACCTCACTCACATGTGGCCTCCATGCCATGTGAGGCTCACCTCTTGCAGAAGAGACAAATCGGTGGCCAGGTGAACAGCGAGAACCGGGCCCTGCAGCAGCAGCAAACCTGGAAGGAAAAGCCTGCTAGAGCGCAATATATTCACAGCCCCGCGTGCAGCTGGCTCTTGCAGCACCCCCAGCCTCCCCTTGTCCAAGCGCCTCACCTTCCCCCGCTTCAGGCTGCTGAAAAGCTCCTTGTCCTGGACAAACTTCTCCATCTCAGCCTTCACCAGCACGCGGCGCACGTCTACCACCTCTTCCACAGTCAGGGCCAGACTCTCCACAGGATGACTGAACTCCTGGGGAGCAGGGCCCCAGTCAGCCCCTAAAGATCCCAGTCCAGACATACCCTGGCAGCTCCCTGGAACACACGCATCACCTTGCTGTTCTCTGCACAGAGTTCTCCATGCCTGCAGCCCCTCATCCTGACCCAGCCCTGCTAGCCACATCCGGAGCAGGCCCCACAGAGCAGTATGACAGGTCCGAGGCCTCTACCCATGGCCACAAGGGCTGGCAGCCCCCGAGTGCTCACCAGCGTCTACACGTGGCTGCAGCCCCTGCTGACCCCACTGCATCCTTGCAGCCCAGAAGGGCTCCTAACTCTCAAGAACCATGTGAGGTAGTGTTTGTTACTTTAAGATGCCAAATTGTGAGGTGGCTTTAATGCAGGCACAGATGACTAACTCAGACCTAAAAGGGGCATGCACCAGCCCTCAGGCTAAGATGAACACTGCCTCATCTTCACACAGAGCTCGTGCTCTTCAAAGCATCTAACACTGTCCTCCCTTGAGCCTCTTACTAAAGCCGCACAGTAATGGTGATGCCAACCACCTTGTTGATACGCGCGTGCTCATGGGTGTTCCTGTGATTTCCCTGGTAAAAGCCATACACCCAGAGTGCAGTCCCCATGGACCCTCAAGGAGGTAGCAGGTGTCAGCTCTCAGTCACAAGGCAGATGGAGTTAGCAGCTAAGGGGACCTGGCACGCTGGTGGCAGAAGTCTCCGCCCACATGCTCCTGCCCCAGTTACCCTAGGACTTCAACCAAGGCTGTGCAAGGTCCTTCTCAGGCTTTTACCTCAAGGGAGGGACGAAGCTCACACCATCACTCACCAGCCACAGGTGCCCGGTGTCTGGCACAGAGGCCTCAGGTCTGTATGTAGAGCTCAGACTGCTGAGCACAGGGGCACCAGCATCAGGCTGGGACTGAATACCAGCAGCACAGGAGCCTGGAGGAAGAGCACAGGCCTGAGGAGCCCTGCAGAAGCCCAGAGGAGGGCAGAGCCATGGAAGAGGGGACACTGGGTGCTTTCAGGTAGAAAGCATGTCCCCCACGGGGCCCGTGCAATTCGCTTCACATTGCTTTGAACCCATGTTGGAGGCCTGAGGTGAAGCCAGCTGCAAGCACACCACAGGGCCCTCCACAAGAATGCCTTCCGCCTTGGGATGCCACATGGCAGGGGAGGAGGGGTGGCCACCACTGCAGGGCTCACGTCTCTGGGACACCGCCCACAGGGGCCTGGGGCAACAGCGAGACAGAGTGGGGCTGGTCTGGCCAATGGCACTGGAAAGGGAGCTGCTCAGGGTGGCTCACAGGCAGGAAGAGGCCTGGATGCCCAGTGGACAGGTGCCAGCCTGACATGCAGTCCAGGGGACTCCCTGCATGGCCACAGACACTGTGGTCCTTGGCTGCCTGGCGGGAAAGAAGCGATGGAATGGCCGCTGGTGATGGGTCCGGTTCTGGCATGGACACCCTGCCTACAGGGGCTTTAGTGCCCACACAGAGAGGCCTGGCCAGTGCTTGGCACCCGGCTTCTGTCTGCCTTCCAGTGTGGCAACGACAGTGATCCCCAAGTTATGGGAGCAGGGGTGTAAGTTCCTGAGAGAATGGTTCACAACGAACATGGATGCTTATTTAGTGACAAGGTTCTCCAGTGGCAAGGGATGGCACCGCACCCCTTTGGTAGTGAGAGGACTGTGTACTCTGCTTGCCCTCAGCCCTTCCTACCCCCGATGCTACTGCTGGCCAGGACCCATGACCCCACACGGGCAGAGCGCCATGGTAGGGTCTGCGAGGAGGGCTGCAGGGTGCGAAGCGCACTTGCCCTGGTCCCGGGCACTGGGCCTCCAGGTGTGCATGCTGCCTGCCCTGGGCCGAGGCAGTCCTGATCCTTCCTGGGGGGCAGCGGCTGGCTGCAGGCTGCAGGCTGCCTCACTCCGCAGCTGGGCCAGGTCATGCTCTGAGAAGGAGCGATCCCGTTTCAGTGTCACCTCCCCACAGGGAGACTCCTCCTCCTGCAGACAAGACAGACACAGCCTACTCTGACCACACTGCCCCCACCTCCTGCCCTGGACTGAGGCATTGGACTCAAGGCACTGCTGGGTCCATGACTCTGTGGGAAGCCCTGGGCTGTCCTCCCAATTTTTTTTTTTTTTTTTTTTTTTTTTTTTTTTTTTTTTTTTTTTTT